ACTTCATATTAACTTGATTGATTGTGTTAAGACTCTTTCAAATGGAGCTAGGAGTTAGGATTTCAGCATATGAATTTGGGGGAGACATAGTTCAACCCATGACATAATCTTATCTCTACCGGTGTCTGCTTCTTGAAGAACTTGAAATGACAACTGATGGATTGGGTTTTGGCAATGGGGGATGAAGATGAGAGAGATGTCAGATAAAAGTATTTTTATATATATGTATTCATTGAGTTGGATTTCTTGATAAATCATAGACAACTAAAATTGTGGCTCACTAATTTTTATTTGTATTATGTTGTAATGGTAAAGTAATTAGTTTCAAAGTCATTCTTGGTCACTATTTTACTTTTTTGCCAAAAATAGCCAAGACTAAAAAATGTTTTATCAATAGTTGTACATTTTGTTATTAAGAATTACTCTGCTTTATCATTATGTCTTCAGATAGGAGAGTGTATGTATATAAAATACCCAGTAAATAATATATCCCTCAGTTTAGTTTTGAATGTGCTATAGAAGAAATTCAGGAATTAAGGAAATTAAGGAATATTACTTACATCTTTCCATACTTAATAATACCCTACAGGCTTTCATTTAAAAGAAAACAAAAAGAGTAAAACCAGATGGGTACAGCAAGTTACATTGATCGGTTTTCTCTTTCATAGAGTAGTAGAATGAAATGGAGTTTTATTCTTTTTTTTTTTTTTTTTAAGATTTATTTATTTGACAGAGAGAGACATGGCGAGAGAGGGAACACAAGCAGGGGGAGTGGGAGAGGGAGAAGCAGGCTTCCCGCGGAACAGGGAGCCCCATGCGGGACTCGATCCCATGACCCTGGAATCAGGACCCCAGCCGAAGGCAGACGCCTAACGACAGAGCCACTCAGGCGCCCCAAAATGGAGTCTTATTCTGTTGTGTTTATTTTATGTGGCCTCATACATTTTTACATAAAATTTTATCAAGCTTACTTTAGCAGTTCAGTTTTATTTTTGTGCTGTAGCTTTTACATGCTATTTAAACAGAAATAATTCTTACCAACCTGAGTATAATGGAACATTGAGGAATCTGCAACTATATTAGACAGCTATTTGAATTTTTTTTTTCAAGATTTTATTTATTTATTTGACAGAGAGAGACATAGCCAGAGAGGAAACACAAGCAAGGGGACTGGTAGAGGAAGAAGCAGGCTTCCCGCAGAGCAGGGAGCCCGATGCGGCGCTCGATCCCAGGACCCTGGGATCATGACCTGAGCCGAAGGCAGACGCTTAATGACTGAGCCACCCAGGCGCCCCTAGACAGCTATTTGAATGATAACTTGATTATCTAGAATGGATCTGATCAAGATCATTTACCTGTGCATGCCATGTGATGAGTCAATATCATTCAATATCATCAATCATATAGTTATTTTCTTTTGTCCTTTTAATCTTCCATATTTTCCTCTACACATTTATAAAGTCGCTATTTTTTTTGTTAAGAAGCAACAAAATGTTTTCATACTGCAATATGCATTTACTATGTCTAATAGAAAAGTGTCATATCTATAATTATATGTGTAATTGTCACCACACATAGACAAGATTGTGTGTCATGAACTTAATTAAAACATTCATTTGTGAGAAAAGAACTACAACTGTTAAAATTGTGTGAGTTTTAAAGCCCCCTTACACTTTTGCTTATTCAAAAATAAGGCACATTGCATATTAAAAAATAAAAGTAGCCTTTTTACTTAAAATTTCAGTAGACTTTTATTATGCATATTGTATTTTATTTTTTTAAAGATTTTATTTATTTATTTGAGACAGAGAGAATGAGAGAGACAGAGAGCACATGAGAGGGGGAGGGTCAGAGGGAGAAGCAGGCTCCCTGCCGAGCAGGGAGCCCGATGTGGGACTCGATCCCGGGACTCCAGGATCATGACCTGAGCCGAAGGCAGTCGCTTAACCAATTGAGCCACCCAGGCGCCCGCATATTGTATTTTATGTTTAATATTTATTACTTTAAGTAGATGGTTCATTGAATCAGCTGAGTAATTTTGAAGATTCACTGATGTTTTTGACCTTTCCTGAGAAAAATCACTGCATATGGATATATTTGATGTTTTTATACCCATGTTGCTGTCACGATCATGTAGCCATCAGTGCCTAGATCTTTGGACTTAGAGAATACTTTTTTTTTTTTTTTTTAGAAATTGCATTTCTAAAAAAAAAAAAAAGAAATTGCATTTCAACTTTAAATTCTATTTAACAACACACAGTTATGAATTAGTAACATTTACTAAAATGCTAACTTCATTTAAATTGAACTGCATTCCCCCACTTATTTGGTGCCCAACAATGTACCTTCTATATATACGGAGTAGGTTCTTGTTTTTAAAGAACTTGGATTCACGTTTGGAAGATAGCATTTAAAAAATTATTAAAGGAGAGTGCAAGCTAGAATAAATAACAAAGTGCTCACACTGATGCAAACACTTACACTATACAAAGATAGAGAAAATAGCATTGCTAGCCAGATTAGCCACTCACTGAAAGTTTGGGAATTCATTCAAGAGAGGATGAAGACCTTGGGAGTGGAGAAGAATGTCAGCTGAGATAAAATTGCAAAAGTCCTTAAAGTCTGTGTTTGTATCCTTCTCTTTTTTAAGACTTGCCAGGGTACCTTGTGACTGGCAATGACTAGGTTATTGGCATATTGACTACTTGATATATAGTATATGACCCGGAAGGATCTTGTTTTTTTCCAAAAATGATTCACATGACATTAATTTCTTCTTTGTTCACTGAAAATGTGAGAATGTTTGGAAAGCCATATATGGTGTAAAACCTTGAGTGAAAGCCTGGCAAAAGGGAAGAGGAGAAATTCTAACTCTGAATATCCTTAACTTAGACTGCCAAGTGGCTTCACTCACTCTTGTGTATTCACTTTTTTAAACCAAAGGAATGCTTGAAGATGTTATTCAGCTATGTGGTTCAAAAGGACTAATGGTGAACTATAATCCCCCTGGACTTTTTTATTCCTACTTCCAGGGTCAGTATTTTTATGTTCTTAATTTTTCTGTGAATTACTTTCAGAAGTCTAAATCACAGGTTGGTACACTATGGCCCATCAGCCAGATCTGGTTCACTGACCTATTTTTTTAAGACCTATGAACCAAGATTTTTTTTTTTTTTTTACATTTTTGAAGGGTTGTAAAAAAATCAAACTAAAAACAAAAAATTAAGGTGAATATGTGGCAAGAGACCATATGTGATCTTTAGAGTCTGCAATATTTACTATTTGATCCTTTGCAGAAAAAGTTTAGATTTCTGATCTGCATAGGGTGTGAGTATGTGTGAATGTGCACAAACATGCACACATATATGTACTTGTTAATGTAACAACCTAAACATTTAAGTTCTCACTATATAAAGACTAGCTTATACTTCTTAGTGCCATTTTTTTTTTTAAGTCTTAACATTAGTATTAACTCTTACATTGGTTACATTTGTAGTTTTAAATACTATACTTTAACCTCTTGTTTCCTGTTCAGCGCCTTTGGGTAGGTATATAGATAGATCTATAGGCAGTGACTAGTGGAAGCTTACTTGGTTTTTATCTATGCTTAGTATAATTTTCTAAATTTTCACCACTGAGAAGCTAGCACAATGCCTGATGCTTACTAAAACTCAAATATCTCTTGAGCATGTGTTTATATGTATCTGTGTATTATATGTATATATGTGTAGGACAGTTTATCTCCCAGGGGGATCCCCACAGTCACATATGTAGAAACTTTAGCTCTTTACAGTTGGCCCTGTAGTCATGGTATTTATTATCACACTTGTTACATCGAATAAAGTGACACAGAAACATTTAAGTAAACTTTTATGTTGTTACTTACTGAAATATCTTCTATTTTGTTCTTAATCTCCCATAGCCATTTGTGTAAAATATATTTTCTTGTATGTGGATTTGAGGTTATTTCACTGGAGGTAACTTAGGCATTAATTGTAGGGTCAGATTTGGAGTACTGAGCTAGAATATGATTTCACTCAGAGCCTGAATAAATATTTAAAGAGCATCTTAATCAGACACTGCTACGAAGTAGTAATACAGTGGTGAACAAGATATGCATAGCTGCCCTCATGGAACTTAGGGGGAGAGAGGCAAATAAACACTCAAATAACCATATACATAAGGAAATATAAATGCAAATTGAGGTAAATAATTTGAAGAAAAAAGTTATTTGAGAGAAAAGCATAGAGTATGATTCTAAGTCAGAGAGACTTTGTTATGTATTCAAATAATGATTAATGTTTAGCACCCTAAAATATTTTCATTTCTCTAGAGCAGTGGTCCTGAAACTTCAGCAATGCATCATACTGACAAGAAGTGTTTGTTAAAACACGGGTTTCTGGGCCCCAAGTTCAGTGTTTGTCATTTACTAGGTCTGAGTGGGCATGAGGATTTGCATTTCTAATAAATTCCTAGATGATTGTGATTCTGCTTAGTTCCTTCTCCTTGGAAACTCTGATTTAATTATGTGGAGATAAGGACTAATATACCGAGGGTGATTCTGACATGTAGCCAAGTTTGTGAGCTACTTAATGCAGAATTTGAACATGTATAAACATAATAGTTTCTTAGTGGGACAGAAAGTACCTAATCCTGCACATTGGTAAGAAGGCATGGGTAAGGTAGGGAAAAGGCTGGAATAGAAGGCTTCAGTGAACGTATGGTTCCTTAAAGATTTATTTGTCCATACCATAAGCTGATAGAGAAGGGAGTAGGTCAAATGGAAGAAATGGTACACAACAAGTAGGATAGATTTTGTTTCATAAATAATCCTACATAGTAAATCGTTTACATTTCTGAAATGTAGTCATTCTGATATTGAGTGCCTCTGATGTCAGCAACAGAGGGATAATTTATTTTTAGTTTAAGTAAATATAAAGTAAGGATCATCTATGCCATATTCAAATAATTTTTATTTATTAATACGTTCTATTTAATAGGATGAGAAGAAGAAACCGAAAGACTAGGAGATATGGAGTTTTGGACACTAACATAGAAAACATGGAGTTGACACCTTTAGAACAAGATGATGAGGATGATGATAACACTTTGTTTGATGCCAATCATCCTCGAAGGTAAGTTAAGTGTTGGGCAGTTTCATTCCATGAATTAGGGAGGCAAGTCCTTGATAAGTAAATAAAGTAGAAAAAATACAGTATTTCATTTAGCAGTTTTTATCCTAATAGATTTTATTCAGTTCTATTTAATGAAGTTCTTTGTGCTACCCAACCAATAGCTCACATGCATATTGCTTTGCTAAAACAGGTATAAATAATAGAATACCATTCCAAAAAGAGATCTGTATTATAGATCCTTGCAGAGCTTTGTCCTTTTAACTGCTACATACTGACAAGTAATACGTAGTAAGTTTTTATGTGTGTGTGAGAGAGAGAAATATTAGTAAAATTGATTTTCTTTTTGCATTCTGAAGATATTTTGATTTTAGTCTGTGCTCCTCTATTTGTAAATCATGCTTTCACTCAAAATTGTGGGACTGATGGTCTGCTAGTACAGCTATGATATCTATTCTCAGATCTGTTCTTGCTGAGTGTTAAGACCCTTCCTAAGAGATTTGTATAAGCAAAATTACATGGTTATAGACTTAGTTTCAAAGCAAATGGGATAAAGAAAGGAGGTAATAAAGATTCCACTTAGTAGGGAAAGACATGTTGAAATAGAGGGGAGACTATTTGGCTAAAGGAAAACTAAAGTCCACAATCAGTTACAACAAATACCATGAGTACAGAAATCTTGGCTTTTTATACATGCAAGGTTGGGAGGATCAGCTCTGGCAGAACATAGGGATCTGCAAGGTTTTTTGTTGGTTGGTTGGTTGGTTTGTTTTTGAGGGAAATACATAAGAGTTTTACAATCTGCTAAAGAGTTTGGTATTACCCTGCTGTTATTGGAGAACCATTGGTGTTGTTTGTGTGGAGTGTATCTAATGAGATAATCAGATTTGTGTTGTGGAATAATACTTCTTGTATTAGTGGGAAAGTTGGCCTAGAAGAGATGAAGGATGAGAGGGACAGACCAGGGAATGTAGGAGGCACATAAAGAAGGGAATGATTTCCATGAGATAAAATTACCTGTAGTTATCTTTTATTTTGCAGCCTGCCTCATCACAGACCTTTCTCCAATACTTATCCCTCTCTTATGCCCCACTTTTCATGAATTATGTGTTCTATTAGGGAGCTAGACATTAATCAGAGTGACTTAATAAACAGAATAAGCATAGGGTGATATGAGAACTTGTAGTGGGGACATAGAACAAATAACCAAAAACTAATGGTCCAGAAACACCTCTTGGACATGCTATGTTAATTGAGACCTGAAAAAATGAGTAGAAATTAGCAAAATTAAAAGTGGATATAGGGGTGGGGGTTGGAGAGAGAACAGCAGGCACAAAGTACCAGAAGCAAAAGAGAGGGTAGAGTATTCAAGGAACTAAAAGAAGTTAAATAGATGCTACATTAATATCTGTGAGAATAAATGAATGAGGGAATGAATAATTTTTGAGCTTTGAATGCAAAAATAAGAGTGATGGGTAAGGCAGGACAAAGAATCAAAAGGCAGATCATGATCCATGGCAGTCAGTGAGAAGTCACTCAACAGATTATGAAAAGCCACTTGGAAAATTTTAAGACGAGGAAACATAATCAAAGTTGTGTTTTGAAAATTACTTAGATTGGAGAAAAGCAAGATAAGGAGTAAGGGAACCAGGAAGACCAGTTAGATGGTACAAGTACATGGGGTGGCCAACACCAGAGTGATAGCAAGAGAAATAGAAGGGAGTAAGTTATTAAAGAGACTTTGAACGGTATTATGAACAAAATTTAGGAATTTTGTTTGGAGGGTAAAGGAGGGAGAAATGGTTATAATAGTGGAGAAGCATGTTTCGGGGTAATGATAATTATCAATGATATCAATGATAATGGCATCATCTTCAGATTTTTAGTAGTATGACCCCATATACTTAAAAAAAAAAAAGACTTAGAACTTTAATATAGACATGTTTAAAGTAAGAACAGCAAATAAACAGTGCTTACCTATTCATTCATTCATTCATTCACTCATCCAAGTAATGAATGATGGAGCAGCTGTTTATATAGCAACTGTTGAATGTCTGGCATTGATCTGGCCACTTGGGATACACTACAGCCACAAAACAGAAAAGAAAAAGAAAAACATCCCGGCTTTGTGAAGCTTAACTTCTAGTTGTGAAAGGTGAGATTGGGAGGTTGACAGTTAATTTTCATTTTCACTTGTCCTTCTATATCCTCCTATGTTGATTTTTTTTTTCTCAATTACTTTAGAAAAAAATTGCCTTTTGTTTGGGAATAATTTCAGAGCTTCAGAAAAGTTATAAGAATAAAAATAGTACAGGGCGCCTGGGTGGCTCAGTTGGTTAAGCAACTGCCTTCGGCTCAGGTCATGATCCTGGAGTCCCGGGATCGAGTCCCACATCGGGCTCCCTGCTCAGCAGGGAGTCTGCTTCTCCCTCTCCCGCTCCCCCCTCTTGTGCTCTCTCTCTCTCAAATAAGTAAATAAATAAAAGCTTAAAAAAAAATAAAAATAAAAAAAATAAATGCAGATCGTTCTTTGTTAAAAAATAAAAGAATAAAAATAGTACAGAGAATATCCTTCTATTCTTAAATCTAGATTTACTGACATTTTACTTCATTTGTTCTCTTGTGTGTTTTTTTCTATCTTATAATATAGATACAGAAGAATGCATATTCCTCATTTTATATTTACCTAATGTTCTCATGTTTCCTTATAATTAGATTCAGGTTATGCATTCTTCCCTGAAATACTGTACAGATCATGATATGTCTTTCTCAGGGTATCCTATCTGGAGACACACAGTGCCCTTCTTTCTTAGCAGTAGTAATTTTGATGCACCTGCTTAAAGTTTGCCCAGTTTCTTTAGTATGTTACTATTTTTTTCCCCATTGCAACTAATAAGGCATTTTAAAATCATGAAAATATTCTGCTTTTATCAAAATTTTCCCCTAAGTTTAGCAGTCATTAGTCTTGATTGTTGCCTGATCTAATCTTCACTGTGATAGTTTCAAAATAATGATCTTCCAACTTCAACATTTCCTTCATATTTACCAATCAGCATTGATATTGTAGTATAAGCAAGAGCTCCCCCTCATTCCTTCTGTATTCATTTATCTAACTATTGACAGTATGGAGTCATGATTTTTCTCCTTTTTCATTGCTGTCCTTGCCAGAGAGAGCCGCTTCAAGCTGGCTTCTGTGCCCTTGTTACTTGCTTCCATTTTTTTTTTTTTTTTTTTTAAAGCAATTCCTCACATTCTGGCCTAGCAAGATGTTCCAGGCTCATTTTTACCTACCCTGCCCTAGTGATGGAATTAGCCATTTCTCCAAAGAGCCTTGGTTTCTTTGAGTGGGCACTAAGTGAGCTCTTTATTACTAAGGTGTGTCCTTACTTCTTGGCCCCTTCAGCAGACAGGTCTGTGAAATGTATGTGTACGTGCACACACACACGCATGCCCACGTACATGCATATTCACATATGTATGCATACTTTACATAGTATTTCTTCATACCTCCCATTCTACCTTGCTGGTCTATTGCCACTGTGTTCTTTCTTGCCTTCTCCCTTTTCCATAGTTGCATTCTCTTTGTTCTGTCATGAGAATGACTTCCAACAATCTTCTGGATCCCAACATCAGCATTTACTTATTTACTCAATTCTGTAATAAAACTAATACAGTTTCAGAATCGCTTTGCCTATGGCACTAAAATAAACAAGCCTTCTAAGAAGGTTTAGGATTTGTTAGTTTTCTCTTCACAACACCATCTTGCCCAAGACTGAGATTATATTATTAGATATGTAAGTGATTTGGCCTTGATTCCTCCTCCCTCTTCAATGTGTTTATCATAATTATTTGAAATGTAATTGAAGTCATTTGAACTTGCTTTCTGTTTTAGATTTTTTCCTCCCCTTCCCATTGTCATTATCATTTTTCATATGAAAAATACTAACATGCTTCCAAAATTAAAAAGTATACACATTTTTTTTTTAATATTATACACACACATACACTCAAAGAAGTATCATTCCCTCTTGTATTCTTTCCTCTCCATTCTCACCACCTCACCCTTTGTAGGTAATCACTTTCATTATTTATCTGGTTTATCTTCCCTGTGGTTCTTTGGATAAAAGTTGGCAGAAATATGTATTTCTTAACACTTTTCTTTCTTACACAAGAGGTAGCATACAATATATGTTCTTTTATATTTTTTTGTTGCACTTTGTAATATCTCCTGTAAGTCATGCTGTATAAGTTCAGGGATATTTTTCATTTTTAACAGCTGCATAGTATCCCATGGTGTGTAGGTACCGTCGTTTATTCAGTCCATTGCCTATGCTTTGACATGTAGGTAGTTATCAAACTATATTTCAATGAATAACCTTGTGCATATGTATTTTTGTATTGTTGCAGGTGCATTTTCAGGGTAAATTTCTAGAACTGGGATTATAGGTCAAAAGGTGTGAAACCAGTTTCAACCATGAAATTGAGAGGTGACTATGAGATCCCAGTGGACATAGCAAATTGCATGGATTCATTTTTTTCATTAAAAACAGTGATAAACTGCCTGTCATTTGTCCCCAAATACTCTACTAAGCTATGGGGATATGGTGGTGAACAAAATTGGGCAAAATGCCCATCCCCATTTCAGTTAACAATCTAGTATATATACACAGGACAGAAATACAAAACAAAGATATTTTGGCAAGAGTTGAGATTCCCCTTTACTGGTTTTTGACCTTGCCAAAATCAGGGGTAATGTTCTTCTCTAGGGCAGACCTACTTTTGTCTCTTTTAAAATGAACAATAATATGGATATTTCAGTACACTGAGAAGCAAACAGTTTTTCTGTGTTCTCCTTTTTATTCTTCACCCAGTATTAAACATCATTTAACTAACACCTCCACTGATTCTAGACCTCTGCTTTGATTTTTTTTCATAGTCTGCATTTGCAGACCCTTTTTTCTAACTCTTACTTAGGGGAAGGTATATACATTTCTTTTCTGTGA